ATTGGTTATGTTTATGACAATGACACGCATTCAACACCTCCCGTATCGTCGGTTTGATCTAGAAGTTGACGTGACTCACCATCGAGGCCCTTTATAAGTTTATGCTTTGTTTATGCTAGTGCCGTATGCCGTATGCAATTTTTGCAGCAATTCATTGCCGCAAGAAATTGCACGAAAAAGTGCTCCATGTATTGTAAATATTGCACGTGCTGCAAGACATTCTGCAATTCTACGCATTTCCACAAAAAAAATGCGCTATTGTGGCCACTTTGTGCGTCCGTTCGTCCGTCCGTCCGCTCGTTCGTTGAGACGCTATTAAGAGCTATTGCTCTACTTTTTTCGCTATTTGGTTCGTAAAGGTGTCAAGGCTTGCACCAAGGATGGCATTTTTTCAGCGTTTATTGCTAAAAAAGTTATTGTAAAAAAACCAAAAAACCGTTTTTTACATGTTCCATAATTTTACACTTTTGCCGTTTATTAACGATCCTAGAGATCGTTTATAATTTTATATTGCTGTCTCATGTCTGTCATCTGTCTGTCCCTCTATCTGTCCGTGTGAACGATAACTTTGTTAAGAAATGTCCGTTCGCTTTGGCATCTCCGTTAGTTATTAACTGAATTGCATGAAATTCAAATGGGCATAGCTTTATATCTAACGCCAGTTTCAAAATTTGGTTTTCCGCATGCGCAGTGACAACTTTTTTATTTATGGAAGCATTTAAATGAAATTTGATACGTATTTGCTTGAAATAAAGGAAAATCAAACGCCAGTTTCAAAATTTGAGTAACGTTGGTTTTTACACATATTAGTTTGGTGTTTAATTTGTTGTATAATAATTACCTACCTAGTATGTTTTCTATTATTTATGTTTTCTAACGAAGAACAGTTTGACATGATAGCATGGCATGGGCAAAGTATCCTGAAACGTGGTTTTGCGCATGCGCAGAGCCAACTTTTTTATTTATGGAAGCATTTAAATGAAATTTGATACATAGGTGCTTGGAACAAAGGAAAATCTAACGTTAGTTTCAAAATTTAGATTTGCGCATGCGCAGTTTCAACTTTCTTATTTAGAAAAGCATTGAAATGAAATTCTTCTTATAAACTGAAATTGAAGTAGCACGTCAAAAATGGATTGCACATTTGCAACGCTGTCTTTCGTATTTGTGGCCGGATTTTTACGATTTTAACAGAAGTTGCATCTTACAAATGGGAAATGAATGCAAGTGGAAATGCGCTTTTTGTAAATCGTTTACGATTACTTTTTAACTTGTTTTGTTTAGACTTTTTCTTGCAATGTAGTACCTATTTATTTTATTAACATTTAATATTTCAATTAGCTAAAGTGGTACCTATGTACTGGAAAGCATTTCCCCCCTAGCGATGATCACGTTTGTTATTCAAAACTGAAATCGCTGATTATTTTTCTACAAAAATGAGCAATTCGTTAGTTATTGCTTCTGTCCTTTCTCTCAAAAAAAACCATACAAATCGTACTTACGTTGTCCGTTTACGAAAAAGTTGGTTGAAATTGAAAATTTACGTTTCAGTTGGACCGTTTTTAACAAGAGTGAGGTTATGTTATGCCCCGGGATTATGTTTTGACCGTGTCCATATAATTGAGATTTGATTTCGTTCTTCACGCTCTTTCTTAAACTAGACATTTTCATTATTCACTTCTTGGATTTGAAATGAGAACATTTGAATAATTTTTATACCTACAGGCACAGCAATTTTCTAGTTTATTATGAATTATTATAATTCAAACAACCAAGTTACAATTTAACTTTGTGCATTTTCTTATTAGTAAAAGTTGACATCACTTGATCAACATTGATTTTTCAAACGGTTTTATACTCCATCGAGTCAACTTAGCTTAGAGTGTTTATTTAGTGCGTCACGTGTGGGTTTTTAAGGCCTTGGCTTGGTCGGGTGTGCTTACTATGCCAGACTCTGAACTCTTAGAGCAGCTAGAGAGAGAGAGAGAAAAGTCGACGGCTGCGTTGAAACCAGCCTTTAGAAGCATCAAAATATACGCGATTCAGTTTCTTTCAAGGGAGACGCCAGCTGAGGACTCAGGGAGGGGCAACTGAATACCACGCGAGTCAGCCGCAGTTTATTAGCGCCTAGCTGACTGGATTCGTAATCTGATGTCTCGTACCGCTTATCTCTTTCCAGATAGAACTTTATGTAATGTTGTTGGGATATATGTACTATCTGTAATAGCTTATTTTCGTAATGTCATTGTGTAGTTAAACAACCTACTGGAATTAAAATCAGTAGCAATTAATTAAATATTTCCTCTTCAAGGAACATATAACTGATTACTTTCGTAAAAATTTACATCATTGTTTACTTGCAATTCATAATTTTTTCATCTCTTCAAGGATATAGATATTTGAACGTAATTACACTTTTAAACATCATTATTTTGTCGTAAATCATTGTAACCCTTGTCGATATATGATCGATATTGAACGCGTTATTCTTTTGGATGGGTACACCTTCTTTACTAAGCAGTTATGCATATTATTGCAGACGATTTTGAAGTTGAGTACAAGTAGACCAACGTCTTTCATAGTACAGTCAAATTAGACCAAAAAATGGGCATTCCGTCAGACCGTGCATCAGATATGTCATCTCTATTTTTTCTTTTAAATTGTTAGGATGAATATCGATGTGAAAAATCCAAGTGTTCGACATTGAAAGACCTGAGCGAGCGACACAGCGCTTGAAAATATGTCATTTTTCTTACCATTTTTTGGTTTTTTTAAGTTTTACTCCTGAAGGACCGATTTTAATGCAATTATTGTCGTATACTTTTTTGAACAAGACAAAATTTCTGAAAATTTAAGCCCCTAATGATCTCCGCAAGTCTAATAGTTTCCGAGATGCAAATTTATTAGTTTTACAAGTTTTATCAAAATTTGCATTTTTTTTCCGCAGAAACTAAACTTACCAAATTTGCACGATGGCGATGAATTGTCGTAAGTCGTGAGTCGTAATAAACTTGTTGAAGAAGTGTTAAAAATTACGGATAATGAAAGCAAATTAAATATTGATATTTGTCTTTTAGTGGAAAAATATCCATGTTTATATATGATGCCTTATTCAGTGATCATTCAAACCATAGTGTTGTGAGTAAGCTTTCTGCTACTGTCACAGATCTTCTATATTCTGTGGCTCTTGTCAAGCAAGGTCAGGCAAAAGGAAACAATTCACAGATTTCGCAATCCATGTAACAGATAGTGGATCCTGCTGAAGAAGAAGAAGTTGACAACTTTCTGGGAGAAGCTGAGGATCCAGAAGATATCAACAGTTTAGCTCCCTCTGTGTGGATTTATGGAGACTCCTCACCAAGTCCCCCCAAATGAACAAAATTATAAAAATTTGTATGAGGTTTTTATGCAAAAAAAGGCAAATTTGATTAAAACTGAAGAATTTACGAATTTTTGAAACGCTGTATCTCCATACTTACAGACCTAGTTAAGGGCTTGAATTGTCATAAATGTTGTCTAGTTTAAAAAAGTGTACGACACTAATTGCTTTAAAATCTGTCCTTCAGAATTAAAACTAACCAAAACCCAAAAATAATACAAAAATGGCGTATTTTGACTGCTGCGTTGCTCGCACAGGTCTTTCGACGTCGAAAACTTGGATTTTTGACATCCACACTCAGCCTAACAATTAAAAAAAAAATAGAAATCACACATCTGATGCAAGGTATTATGAAATTTGACTGGGACGATCAGGCATTACTCAATTCATTAATTACCAAGACAGGCGACTTTCCGTTTGTTGTATGTTCGTTTATGGAGTGGGTCTGAGTTAAAGCAGCGCCAGCCCAAACCACCCCCGTTTAAACAATTTTATCCAGTTATGACCAAAATATGACTTCAACGCTCCAGTGCTAAAACTTATTGCCTAAATGCTTACCGCGTTTTTCACTCATGTTGACTATCTTATCTCACGTCTCACGCGCCTTATACAGACCGCCCTTAAACTGAATACAATCTCAAGATAAGAGACCACGTTAATAGTACAATATACCCTTTTAAATGTACAAATTTCCCTCAACTACAATGCAGAGAGTAACACAAAATAATTAATCTTAACTTGAATAACAATTACTTACGTTACGACAATATGCCCGTTTTTTGTTTGTTTCGCAATCATGAACAGTGTTAATATAAGTAATAATAAAACATTAAACACATGGTAGTGGAGGAGGGGAGCACACAGGTTATCTTAGGCCCAAGGTTCGGCTAATCCGCCACTGATAGGAAGTGTCATCTTTTCGTGTCCATAGATTCAAATAAAGGTCCGTTTTTTTGGTACGGAAAATGTGTTAATTGGCCTAAATATATTTGGGTAAGAAACTGATTTGAAAGAGCGTCTGCGTACATATCAAAGTACAGGATTGCTACCAATGATGTACTTCGATAGGTATAATCGCACAGACAATGTTGTCTGTGGTAGGTATAATTTCCGCAAAAAAATGGTGCCGCCCTTGGTGGCCAGGCTTTCAGACTTATGCAGGAAAAACTCTATCGAGTTAGATAACGCTAATTGTATGTACCCCAATGTAATTTGTTTAGTTAGAAAACAGACTTAATTGCATTTTCGCGTTTTGAAATACCTTCAATTCATGTCGTTAAATGCATCATTATGGAGAAGACACATTTATACCGCGAAATCGATACTGTACGTCACAGCGATAGTTTATTCTCTAAACAATAATTAATTCTATTTAAAACGAAAATTAGTGCCAGTGCATAGATTTATGAGCAGTCGTTTAGAAGAAGCTTTCAAAAATGTAATTAATTATATTGAGGAATTATCCAGTTACTTACACAACTTTGCTCTATACTGATCCAATTTATCATACATTATCTGCATTTATTGACGGCATTTACTTAAAATGCTGCGTACAAGAATACGTTTTAATGGTACAAAAAGTATCAGTCGAAATAAAGTGTCTTCAGTGAGCTCTTGGTTGATGAAGCTTCTGGGGCACAGTACCATCCAGGCAAAGGTCGAACCAGATAAAGTCTACCGTGGTCCAAACATGTTTCAATACGGTTTCGCCGAAAGAGCGCAACAAACAGTTAATAAAAAGCAGACAAGGTAGGTTAGACTTGATAACGTTTATTTGTGATTCGTATTTTTTTTAAACTTTAGCGAAAGTCAGAAAAAGAGTATTATGAAATTGGTTATGAAACGCATGGAGGAATATTTTCGGAACTCTACCTTGCATGGACTACGCTACGTTGGAGATCCTCTCATTTCGTTTGGAGAACGGTAATTTTCTTCTTGTGTGTTTATATTTATTGTGAAATATTTTGTTTAAATCTCGTAAATGTACCTTAGACAAGTTATAAATGGTAGGTAGCAGAGACTTACCCAGTAATTGTTATACTGTAGACCTTTGAATATAGACTATTTTATTATTTTATAATCAAAGCTGTAGACTAAACCTTTGTTTATATACTATAATTAAAGGGCTAAACTACCACTAATATGTCCGTGAAATTAGCTAGAAAAATATTGAAATGTTGGACTATACAAGGTGAAAATTGTGTCTGGAACACTGAATAGATTTTCAAAACAATATTTTCTTAAAAGAAGCTTTTTATGGTATCCAAAATTATAAAAAGTGTGCTAATAATGTATACGTAGGTACTTTAAATTCGCGGTCAGTGGCGTGCGTCTGCATGGTCATGGGGGGCATAATTTTTTTAATGGGAAACACTAGTGTTCATTATATATTCTTAAAGAGTACACTTTTTTGGGCATAGCGGCATAGAAAACTGATTATATACAGTGTGTCGAAGGAAAGGACAGCATTGGGAAATCGGAAATTCCGATTAGTTCCGAAGATATTCGAAAAAAACCCGAAATGCATATTCGTTTTTATTTTTTCTGACCCTAGCTGAATAGATACCAAAAAACAAATATCACTTCGTCATACGCATTTTTAGTTGGAGACACGGGACCCTTTTACAGGAAGTTCCCCACGTTGGGCGCCACTTGTAAGTGGCTAGTTACACTTACAGAGGTTGAATACTCTGCGCTCGTAAAATAAAATTTAATTTTTTTTATTTTACTTTTATTTACCTTTATTTTTGAGTGGGCGGGGTTTCAGCCAAGGCTGCTCTACCAACCCAACCCACTATACGTTTACAAATATCCATGTCCGAACCCGGATTCGAACCAGGGACCCTTAGCACCGCAGTTCATCTTTAACTGAACTGCGCCACACGGGATACGGCACTGGTAAAAATTTGACTATAACGTCTAATTTTTTGTAATGAAATTATGAATACCTAGCTCAGTAATAAATGATGGTTCAATAACTCTTCCCCTGTGTTGGTTCTTTATCCCCTCTTATAGTTTGAAACTCAAAAACCCGTTTCCCTTGTTTTATCCACAATATTAAATTGCCGATGCTCCGGAATGCATATAATATGTCAAAATGTACCCTTGTAACTTAAGGTTTTAACAGCAAACAAAAGCTTGAATTAATTATCATTAACGTTTTTACCGGTAGCCGTTTTATTCGTAAATTTGTTGCACTTATTATAAACAAGTTGGATGTTTTTTTTTAATTACACGGAATGTGTTTGCACCCTGGATCTTAATGCTTTCGTAGTAACCATTAATTTCAATGCGAAAAACCTTAATCCAAATATGCACAAAAACAAGGGAAGATTCGCTGACTTCGTTCGTTGGTTCGCGGATTAGTCAACACAAATACAACACACCATTCGCTAAATTATAGGTGGTTGATTTCACTCCACTCGCGACTCAAAGCGAAAATTCGCACAAAATAAAGAAGCGACGCCACGGTGAACGCCTTAACTTCGCGGCTAGCTTTGCGCTAATTCTCTGACGAGTAAACGCGCACAACTAACTTTTTTTGTTTTTATTTTTCGAGGGGTGGAGTTTCAGCCAAAGCTGCTTTACCAACCCAACCCACTGTACATTTACAAATGTCCATGCCCGAACCCGGATTCGAACAAGGGACCCTTAGTACTGCAGTCCTGCTTCAACTGATCTGCGCCACGCGGGCCGGTTAAACCTCGCTACTACTTTTTTCTTTTTGAGTGACATCCATTCTGAAACCCAAACTTTTTTGACTAAAACAAACTAAATTGGCCATCAAATTTTGGCGATATGGGGCTCATTTGAAAGGGCTTGGTCCAAGGATTCCGTGCATACCGGTATTTTTTGCTTTTGCGTATGCGCAGTGTCAAACATTTGGATTAACGCATGTGTAATCCGAACTTTTTTTTTAAATGAAGATATTTAAATGAAACTTTATATGTAAACACTATCAAATAAGTAAAATTAACGACGTTTTGAAAATGTATAGTTTTTCGCATGCGCAATGGCAACTTTCTTATTTATGAAAGCAGTTAAACGAAATATCATATGTAGGCACCTTGAATGAAATTAAAACTAATACCGGTTTCAAAATTACTGTTAACGCATGCTGTATGTTTTATTTATGAAGGTATTCAATGAAATTTCTATAATGTAGACAATGCGCAATGTGCTATTTACAAAAGCATTAAAAGAAGTTTCATATGTAGACACTTCGAATAAAAGTAAGTAAGTATACGCTCCACTGTTTTTCATTAAACTGTATAGACTTCGACGATAGACGGCTCATTTGAAAGAGAATGGGGTAAGGATCTCGTGCCTACCAGTATTTCTCCTGCTCCTAGCATTAATATTATTAGCAGGAGAATACGCTCTCGTCATTTATGTTTGCCATAATGACATTTTAAACTTGTTATTACTTGTAGGCTAAATGTGTATCGTTAATTATTACACTATTTACTTATTTTAGATTCTTCTGGTTACTGGCGTTCTTTGTCGCCTTACTTTGTGCAACGTACTTCATAAACAATATCTACAGTAAATACAATCGTAGTCCGATAATCATTAGTTTAAATCCAACAGCAACACCGATTGGATCACTTCCATTCCCAGCAATCACCATTTGCAGCATGAACCAGGCTATTAAAAAAGAAGCGGAACAAATCATGCTGTCAGGGTAAACATCCTTTGGCATTTGCAGGAGTTCCAAATAGTTTGTACGTTCTAGGACAGACGTTGAAAAAATGTTGCTCGACGATTATTGCAATGGAAACTCTTCGTTTGGAAACTTAAGCAATCTTAGCGAGGAAGTGGGAAAATGGGAAAACGTGCAAAAGTTTATTTTAAGGGTAACTTGTTTGCTAAAAATCGCATTAGCTAACCAACCATTTCTAATGGCTACGTATGCTATACAGAGCGTTTATTTGAAAACGAACCTGTTTAACAAGAAGGAAAAGGTTGCAAAAACCCGTCAATCTAGATAGTCAAGGGGAAAATAGTCGATAAGTATAGCTTCGTTGCAAAATTACCTTTTCTCTTTCACCCACGTACAAAAACGTACCCTCACTTCATTATTTTTATACAAATGCTTTGAAAATCAATGGGATGCGAGACCAAGTGAACTACTCTCAAGGCCTGAATAGGGGACAGGGGCACTTGGATGAGCGAACTAAAGAATCACTGTTTTTTTCCTTATGCTACGGTATTAACGACATCGACATTAATGGGCCTTCGACTTCATCACGGGCTTCTTTGCGAGCGTATTTTAGAAAAAGATCAACGAGTCCATGGGAGGCAACTCTTGTACATCTAAAAGTTAAGCTTTTTCTACAAAATATCCAAGAGATTGCACCATTTACGCAATCCAATGGAAAATAAATTTGATAATGAAGAATCTGAGGCGGGCTTACGTCACACTGTTTATATACGCGGGGCGTCACTTTTAAAACTTGCAGTTGGCCATATTTTCCAAACTCAAGAAGATATAGAAAATCGCGCAAAACCTTTTCGGGGGTATCGAGGGTGAACCAGAATGACGTTATGAGTGACAACCCTCCAAACCCCATTAATCCCCCCCCCCCTCTCCAAAAATCCTAAATGACAACCTTATACTTGTGACACATCGTTGGAAAGCTGCTGAAAAATGCTTTCCAGTGGTACCAATAAAGTCAATATTAATTAAAGACAATTTAACAAAAATTTAATAATTAACAAAAAAAATAAAAATTAAGCCATGCCTATGTTCAAGATTTGGTCGCTAAATTCGAAGAAACGGGATCTGTTCTCAATAAACAAGAAATCAACCAAGATTGCTTAATGAAGCAGCTCAGGTTGAAGTTCTTGGCCAATTTGCCATAAATCCCTCAAATGTCAACATTTAGTTTTTTTTGGTTAATTATTAAATTTTTGTTAAATTGTCTTAATGAATATTGACTTTATTGGGACCACGGGAAAGCATTATTCAGTAGCTTTCCAACGATGTGTCACAAGTATGGGGTTGCCATTTAGGACTTTTGTAGAAGGGGGGTGGGGGTTGTCGCTCATAACGTCATTCTGGTTCCCCCTCGATACCCCCGAAACGGTTTTGCGCGATTTTCAATATCTTCTTGGAAAATATGGCCGAATGCAAGTTTTAAAAGTGACGCCCCGTATACTGGTACGTTCACAGTCCTAGAAAAGGATCCACTAATCCACATTCATATTGAATTTACGACTTTTACTGTCCGTATTTCGCGATTTATTTCTTTTGCATAAACTTTAATTTGAGTTAAAACGTCAAGAACTTGAAGTAGTATTTATTGAGATCCTTGCACGAATTTTGTTCAAATTGTTTCGTGGGTGTCGGATATTTCTTTGAAATTTTAACCATAGATGCTTTTGGTAAAGAAAAACACAACACAACCTTTTTACAAAAGAGACATCGATGTCCGGTTCAACCGAAAGTGATACCGTAAATTTTAATATGCCTTCGGATGGATTGTGATGTCGAACATAAAATTGTGTTTTTTTCGAATCTCGCCAAATAAAAGAGCGATCTGTTCTATCAAAAGACATCATTTGCTTTTACCAATTACCTTTTTAAAAAAGCAATTTTCCAGAAACCTCTACTGCCAAAAACATCTAGACCAACTTGCCCAGGTTGCACAATGACGTGAGAACGAAACGGATCTGAATATCTGATTCTCCAAAACGACCAATCCCGTTACTTTGATTTTATGTCGCGACAAGCTGTCGCCCCCAAGCTTTCACATGCAAATACTAGCTCGGAAACAAATGACCCAAAACATATAAAAGTAAGAAAAATGTAAATGCTTTAGCAAGCTTCCGTTATAGTATTTGGGTGGATAAAGGCTATACGGAAGTTGGGTTTGGGGAGTACAACCTTTTACTTCTGTGGCGTTGAAAGACATACTAAATTAAGAGGTGGTTTGGAGAAGAAGGCTCTGTACAGAGTTAACAGTGAATTTAAATTGCAACTACAATGCCGTTTCTCGCGAATGATGATTATTAATATTTTTAAGGTGAACCCTCCATGCCAAGAGACAATAAGGACTTGTTTCTGGCAACAGCAAGAGTATGCTTGTACGGATGTCTTTAATAATGGTCTTACAGACGATGGTTTATGTTGTACCTTTAATGCACTTCCAAGGGATTATATATTTCGAAACCCGTAAGTATCCAAATTGTGATAATTTAAGTGAGTTTTTGTGCGACGGATCGAGGTTTTATTAGCAAACTCATTTTATGATACAGTTTTATTATGAAGGAAACTTTTTGCTCTGAAATATAATCTGTATGCAAAGCTTCAAACCCGGCATTCTACCATGATTCCTTCGAGAGTTTTACTTAAAAAACCATTCCATCCAACCGACCGACTGAACAGCCAAAGTGAATATATAAGCGCTACT